GTTCGACATTCTAACCACCTGAAGAAGGTCGGAGCGTACAACGGCCGAAACGTTGTAATAAATATGGCAACAAAGATGAGGACAATAGTCCGAATAATGTAAATAGTTTACATAATACCTCATCTCAGAAATATAGACAGATACTGAAAAGCCGAAACGTTGTAATAAATATGGCAACAAAGATGAGGACAATAGTCCGAATAATGTAAATAGTTTACATAATACATCATCTCAGAAATATAGACAGATACTGAAAAGCCGAAACGTTGTAATAAATATGGCAACAAAGATGAGGACAATAGTCCGAATAATGTAAATAGTTTACATAATACCTCATCTCAGAAATATAGACAGAGCTTTGGTAAATATCATCCTTCTTTAAATATTGTAAACTGGTGCTACAGTATCACAAACTAAGAACTGTACGAAATTACAGAAAACCACACCACTTGAGGACTACCAACAGCGGCAACAACTAAAATACATAGCACACGTAACTCGAAGAAAAAATAATGACACAATCAAGATGTTAGCATTCCACACTACATCAAATAAAAGGCTAGGAAGGAAACTCCCATTAATACTGGAAAGAACGATAAAAGCTACTGGAGTTGAGAGACCTGTTTTTATTTTTTTTAAAAGTGTTTGAAGAGAAGTCTTCTCGGTCAATGAAAAACTAAATATTTCCTTGTATGGAAATGGTTAATATTATCATTACAATTCCCATAAAAATCCTACCCCAGAAAAAAAAGAAAGAATTCTGATGACCAGATCTTGAGAAATGGACTGAGTTAATGAACTCTTTCAGCATTCATTCAGATATATTAATATATATGCTCAAAACCACTCCTGCTGGCTTGGTTAAAGAAAAAAAAATCAATGCTTTCATTTGATGTGGTCAAGTTCTTCTCCTTTCAAAGTCTCGGGCGAATGAGATTCTCGTGTTTTCATCTTGCAAAGGCATCGATTTGTTACTTATGTCCGTTCTAAAAAAAATAAAATACGAAAAATTGCTACAAAATAATAAATAAATTTGATATTTTTTTTAATTGGTTGATAACGGCTACAGCGCCGCTCAGCGAGATGGATGCAATTAAGATTTATCGATTTGTTTTTTTCATCGGAGTTTTGAAATAGTTTTTATTTATTTTTTAATTCCGCATTACCTTTCATCCCTTTGTGGCCAAGAGAAAGAAAATGAGTTTTACAGGCGATAAAATGTCGCCGTGATTAGGTTGGAACAAAAGTAACTAGAATTTTTCAAGTGAATTTAAAATGAAAATATTTGAACATAGATTTTTTTCAACCACATATACCTATCTGTCTATATTTCAAGGACACATAGCACAGTGGATAAAGGAGTTAATTTGGTTGATAACGGCTTAGTGAGATGGATGCAATTAAGATTTATCGATTTTTTTTTTTTAGCGGAGTTAGCTAAAGGCGTACAACGGCCGAAACGTTGTAACAAATATGGCGACAAAGACGAGGAGAATAGTCCGAATAATGTAAATAGTGCCCATATATGTAGTTTTGTCCCAATACAGAAGAACCTCGGTTCTTGAACGTCTCACATGTCGAACAAATCGATTTTCGAGTAGAAAATTCGAAATGAAAATGCCTCGCTTATTGAACAAAATTTCGGTTATCGAACAACTGAACCGAGTTAACCCCAACGGAATAAATTCTGAGTCGACCGCCATGTTGTATACATTCGTGTATTGTTCTATGCTTTTCTTTTCCAATTTTAATGTAATGCTACTTTTTTCTCTACATTAATTCTTATAGGAGAAAATAGTTTCGACTTACGAACATTTCGGGTTACGAACGGCCTTCAGGAACGAATTAAATTCGTGAACCGAGGTTCCACTGTATTTAAATATCTTCACAACTCCATCATCCAACTTACTGTTTGAGGAGTTGACAATTGTTTTTAATTTTACAGGCGTACGGCCCCATCGCGTTGAAACACCGGTTCCCTTACGATCAACGTTGAACCTGGCCAATACCGCTTGGGAATGCCAGGTGCTGTAAGCTTGGATGTGCCGGTGGTGTAATAGATAACATCTCGGTATTGTTAATCGGAGAGCCGAGTTCTAATTCCCACGAGGTTTGTTATATTCACTTAGGCGCAAATATCCTTGGGTAATGTACGAATCCAAATCTCCCCACTATTAGTAAAACTTGTATCACTAAAACTATTATTACACCCCTACTACCAAAAAAAAAAAAAAGAAAAAAAAAGGAAAATAAAATTGCGCCCAAATTATATATATTTCGGCATTAAATAACCTATAGAAGTTGATATACAGCTAAACATAAACAGCCGAACTTCTCATTGAAGAAAGGAGGATTTTGTAAGGATTGAAATAATTGGCAATCTCAAAGTGTTGTGGCCTGTTTAGGGGTCAGAAAGAAAGACACGGAAAACGAAGGTAGGTTGAACAAGTGTATTGAAATAACAGATATATATACAAAGCAAGAGTGTTAGTAATAAGGAGATAGAAGTGGACGTCCGAACGGTAGGTTAACACTGCGTCTCCGGTTCTCAACTGACGATATTCTGTCCCCCCCACTGGGGCATCATAAAAGGTCTGTTTTTAACGTGGAATCTCCGAGCCCGTGGGCTGGGCCCCAAAATATGCATTAAACCTAACTAAAATTTTCAGGATCGGTTTAAAATTTCCGCCCTTCGGCGTAGCCTTTTTCCTCAACCCGAAGGCAGAGAGTTCAACTGAACAGCCGGTCGGGAAACGAACGACTGACGATATTCAGTCACCCAACCCACTGGGTCATCGTGTGAAAAGGTCGGTTATTTATTGTGGGGTTCTGCGAGCCCGTGGGCTCGGCATGGATATGCCCCATTGAACCCGTATAAACGGGCTCGGGCCAGTTTTTACCGGAAAGTTTCTAAAGGCGTAGCCTCGTTCGATTCCACCCGCCCGAAGGCAGAGAGTTCAACTGAACAGCCGGTCGCGACGCGAACGACTGACAATATTCAGTCACCCCCCATAATAAATATGACAATATAGTTATTTTTGTCCCAATTCAGAAGAACCGCGGTTCTTGAAAAATATCCCATTGAACCGGTATAAACGGGATCAGGGTTGAAAAATTCGAACGAAATGCCGGCCTTATTGAACAAAAACGGTTCCTCCCGCCAAGGCAGAGAGTTCAACAAGACCGTTTAACCCTCTGAACGAATGACTCCTCAACGACTCTTGCAGCCATTTTGTATACATTCGTTCTATTGTTTACCATGCTTTTCTTTGAAATTTTAATGTAATGGGCATCCTTTCCAAACTGCACCAATTCTTAGAGGTCTGTAAACAGATATGGGGGGTCTTTGTCTTGACAGTAGCTGACACCTTTCTAATTAACCAATTCCGGCCTTTTTTTTTTAACGATCGCTTCTATTTAATCGGTCTAATTGGGATGAGCTCGTAATTACAATCCAACTTGATGCATACTATTTTCTTCGAATACCTATTTTTACACTTTCATAGTGTTTTTACCCCAGTCTCGGGGCTAACTATTTTGCCCATAGCTGGGACCCTATCAGGTACTACCACCCCAGGTCAGGGTGGTTTTGGGAACACCAGCAATTAAGAGGTTTCCATCAAAACCTCCTGAACCTGGCCAATACTGCTTGACGAATCGTCTTACTCAGGACGCTGATGTAGTTTAGTTTATGTCATACGGTGTCTTAATAGGATGCGGATGTCGTTTATCGTCATACCCAGGACGGAGTAAATATTTAGATGTGCTCCATTCTTTTAAGCTCAGATCTTTTTAGCTAGGGTATTCGTACAACACCCTACCCGATTGTCCAAGTCTTCCAACACCACGGCTGATCGATGAAGATCGTACGATCTCAGACCTCCTTACCCCACGTTGTGATTTATGTTTGATCATAAAGACGGCGGGATCGAATCGTCGCAGTTTTTTTTAGTGCTGGGCTGGTCCAAGAAGGGCGAAGACGTACAGTGAAAACATAATACTCGAATAAATTGAACCAAAGTAAATTCTGTTTGGGTATCAGTCCTCCGTATAATAATTGATTTTTATCAGAGTTCGAGTGTAATTAATTATCAGCCCAACCCACGTCTAAATCGGAAGTCATATTATCTTTCTTGACTTGACAAAATCTAGGATGCTGCTTTGATAAAGTTTGGCACAAGCCAGAAGTGGGAACCTTTCGTCGGCAGATAATCACGTAGGTCTGGTCTCGTCTCCGTCTCTTTTGTCTCTCTTCTCTCTTTTGCCTAATTCGCTTCGCCCATTCCTATTTATGGACATTCGCCCAAACTGGCAAACGAAGACAATTCGATAATTCTGGAGAATTCCATTCCCCAGATATATATACAAATCAAGTGAGCGTGGGTAGTATACACCCCTAAACTCAACTTACGACCAGGGAATCAATTCGAAATTCATCGTTTACGAAAAATGAACTTTACAACTGACGATTTTCAGCTGCGTAGGACAATCATCATTGTCCCTAAGTCTGGGGCATCAAACTGACACATACAATTCAAGTTTTATATGTGAATTAAATCCTAATTCTTCCCACGGGTTTTTGGTATTAACCCTTCTCCCAATGTTTCTCACTACAAAATTTTCTCATGCTTTAACAAAAAACTTTTTCCGTTTTACCGTGGTCCGAATAACAAGATGCTTCTCCCGCGGAGTCAAAATACCCGGCTTTTTTCCTGATTTTTCACCAAGAATTTCCAGATTGTGAAACAGACTCCATATGAGTGCTTCCCTGATCACTTTAATCTTTTCCTATTCAAGCCAAGAACCAGTCGTTATCTGTCCTCCTAATTCTTGTAATCTTCACTTCCTGCAATTCTCTATTTCGTTCATCTGACACACCTCTTTCTTCATGGGCATTTTAACAGCAACATTCTCTCATCAGCTATGTACTGGGTGAATTTTAGTTCCGGAAAAGCCAACTCGAAATCTTCTTCAGTTAGACCTGCCACCGGACACATCCCTTTGAAACACCGGACCCCATACGATCACCAAAGTTAAGCAACGTCGAACCTGGTCAGTAACCAGCTGGGTGGCCAGTTGGGAATACCAGGTGCTGTAAACATAAATGTGCGGGTAGGGTAATGGATAATGACACGGAATTAGAAATAGGAGGTACGAGTTCCAATTGGGTTCATTATAGTCACTTACGAGCAAATACGTTTGTAAAAGTTATGAATCCACCTTTTCTATCCCCAACTATGGGTTAATTAGTATAACTAGAATCATTAATAAGTATTTTACTGATTCTTTAAAAAAAATTAACAATCTAAACATAATTTCTAGCTCAGGTCGCAGCTAGACGAAATTAAACAGCAAATCAGTACAGCAGTGAATTTAGCTTGTGAACAATTAAGGTTTATATTTGTATAAATATATATATATTTATATTTGTATATGCTTACGGCCATATTACATTAGAGCACCGTTTCTTGTACGATCTCTGAAGTTAAGCAACGTCGAGTCTGGTTAGTAAATAGATGGGTGACCAGTTGGGGATAGCAGGTGCTGTAAACTTGTATATGTGGAGTGGAGAGGAGGGGATAATGGCTCGGAATTGTTTATCGGGGAGATTGGTCTCAGTTCATGTTTGCTTCATTATATTCACGGACGCGGAGAAAGGTATCAATCAATCGATTCCCCAAGCTATGGATCAATTAGTAAGATTTGAATCATCAAACCATTATTATCGCCAAATAAAATTTTTATGCTCCAAAAATATTTTCTGGCTTGCAAAGGGTTGATAAACCGTAAAAAACGAATCAACCAATCAAGTAGATCTGGAAACTTAAAGTCACAAAAGAATCTTGGCTAAGTTTTCATTTCTGCCAAATTCCTCGTTATAAAATATTTCTATTTATTTCTTTGGTGAATTGGATAGTTTTATATATAGAATTCGGATTTACGTAAAAAATAATTCAGCTTTCCTGAAAAGAACTTTTTTTAGGCTTCATTTTTCGGGTGGTTTAAAATTGATCATAAAAAGCCAAAGATTATCGATGAAAGCATACATCATTTAGTTATGTTTCTAACCCTTTCTATCGCAAAACAAATAAATTATATATATATATATATATATATATATATATATATATATATATATATGGTGTATCAAAAATACTTTTACAAACTTTGGGGCGGCTTCCACACATCAAAAGAAGGACAAAAGTCCTTATAAAACATACGCCCGCACAACCTTCGTTTTTGAGTTTCAAGATCATTACGGTAGACGCCGTTAAATGTACAATTCAAGATACAATCCAAAAATACTTTGGGAAGCGTTCCTGACACCAAAACAAGGTCTATATAAACATACGTCCAAAAGGCCATCGTTATACCTCAACACAGCAACTCAACAAATGTTCCAAATATCCCCCGCTTGATTCTACACACGTATGCACCCGTCGGATCATTGAGTGGCGGAGCGTTTCAAATACTCCCACACGGTGTCGAATGGTTTCGCAGGCTTCTATGACACGTTGATGAAACGTCTCTGAATTATTAATGTGTGGCCTCTTCAGTGCGTCCTGTGAGTGTTAAATTGGGGGTAGGGGGGTTGGGGGTTAGGGGGTGTTAGGGGTTAGGGGGTTGGGGGTAAGGGGGTAGGGGAGGTTCTCGTTCTTACTCTTCTCCTTTTTTCATTCTCATTATCTTTTTTTCCGCTAAAGCCAGAACAAATATTTTCTTGTTTGAAATAATCAGTAAAGAATAAAATCAGGATAAAACGAATCAACAAAAAAAAAAAAATCGATTCATTTTATTACGTCTTTAAAAACAAGCATTTTTAATGTACAGATAGCACAATGTACACAAATACCACGATCACTAATGGAGCCTTTGTGGTATAGTGAAACGACCACACTCTACACAGCCTCCTTCCAAGTAGTGCTATAAACAATAGAATTGAACGAGATTTTAAGGTCAATCTGTGCCAGGCGATTTTACTTTTCGTACTATTGCTCCATTACATTGACAACAGTCCCGATACTTTTTGATCAATTCTCGTATGGCCATTTTTGCCTTTAGAAACAATTTCTTTCTTTTCTGTACATTTTGTTCCTTTCTATTTCCGTACTGTTTTTTTTTCTACTTTATTTCCATTTCAAACTGTCCTTCTTTACGGCTGCGAATGTTGGACGATTTCCTCAAAGATAAAGAAGAGACTCGAGGCGACGGCGATGTGGTTCTACAGAAGGATGCTAAGGATATCATGGACCGAGCGTGTGAGCAACGATGAGGTTTTGGAGAGGATGCAAACGAGGTGGAGGCTTATACTTAATACCAGGAAGAGGCAGCTGAAGTTTCTGGTACACATAATGAGGAAAGAGGGCCTGGAGAATCTAATACGCACGGGTTGAATAGAGGGAAAGAAAGACAATGGAAAACAATGCATGACTTACCTGGCGGACTTAAGCAAGTGGATGACAGAACGTGGTCTGGGGGAGGAAGCAGAGGGAAGGAACTTGTTGAGAGCTGCAAGGGATAGAGGAAGGTGGAGAACCATGATTGCTTAAGTCTTGGAAGGACATGGCACATAAAAAGAAAAGACGTTAAGAGCGCGAAAGCTAGCTTCTTTGTTTCTTTCTGTTTATCTTTCTCTCTTTTATCCTTGTTTCTTTCTTTTTCTTTCTTTCTTTCTTTGAATATTTTAATCTTTCTTTCTTTTTTTCTTTATATCTATCTTTCTTTCTATATCTTTTCTTTTCTTTCTTTTACTAAATCTGACAGAACAGAATTACTATTAATTTCGTACGCAACTTCGTATCTCTTTATTGATGACTGCCTCTCTTTCTTCTTCTAACCCCTTCCCCCGTCTCCTACATATGAATCTCTTTGTTTTCTCCTCTTACTACTACTACTGTTCATTCACACTACTTCTCTTCTTCAATTCTATACTCCTCCTACTTTTTTTTAAATCAACCCTATCAAGTTCCTTTAATTCTCCCCTTCTTCCATCTTTTTACACCCTACGTCTGCGTACTCCTTTCGAAATACACTTCTTCTGTGAGGCCTCCTCTTACTACTACTACTTGTTTCTACTTATAAATCTCCTCTGTTTCCATCTTCTTTTTACAAATATCCTCCTACTACTACTGCTCCGGCTACTTTTCTTCAAAGCTTCTACTCTTCCTGCTCCTCTTGTCTCTCAACGCACTCGACTCTCCCCCACCTACTTATCGTCTGTTTTATTCGAATCCAACGATTCAATTCAAACATGAATTCTCTCCTGAGACTATTTCAATTTATCAAAGAGTTCGCATTTTCTCGTTTTTTCTCTCGGATGTAACCGCGGCACATCAATGCAGTTTAAAACTTCTATTGATCTAGATAGATAGATAGATAGATAGATAGATAGATAGATAGATAGATAGATAGGAAGAGAGAAAAGTGAACAGAGTGAAGATAGATAGATAGATGTGAACAAACTGTGATAGATAGATAGATATAAATACGCGAACAAACTGTGATAGATAGATAGATAGACAAATAGATAGATAGATAGATAGATAGATAGATAGATAGATAGATAGATAGATAAAGAGGAAGAGAGAAATGTGAACAGAGTGAAGATAGATAGATAGATAGATAGATAGATAGAGAGAGAGAGAGAGAAATGTGAACAGACTGAAGATAGATAGATAGATAGATAGATAGATAGATAGATAGAGAGAGAGAAATGTGAACAGACTGAAGATAGATAGATAGATAGATAGATAGATAGATAGATAGATATGGAGAGAGAAACGCGAACAGATAGATAGATAGATAGATAGATAGATAGATAGATAGATAGATAGATAGATAAAGAGGATGAGAGAAATGTGAACAGAGTGAAGATAGATAGATAGATAGATAGATAGATAGATAGATAGATGTGAACAAACTGTGATAGATAGATATATAGATAGATATAAATACGCGAACAAACTGTGATAGATAGATAGATAGATAGATAGATAGATAGATAGATAGAGAGAGAGAGAGAGAGAGAAAGAGAGAGAGAAATGTGAACAGACTGAAGATAGATAGATAGATAGATAGATAGATAGATAGATAATCATTGCCTCGGGAGCATCTCAAAAATCGTACCCTGGAGCATTGAAGTGAGCATGCCAAGATTTACTTCAAGTCTAAAACGACCAAGTGTCGGCTTACTGGTAGATCATTGATCGAGAGGTCAAAAGGTGACGTTTGAAATTCCCAATTCTGTGCAGGTGGGATTCTTTGCTGGAAGTGATCAAAAAGATGAGACGAATGTGTTCACACATCGTGAGCGCATATTTTCCTAGATATTAAATTTCACTTTCTCACATGCGAGACATTACATGCTGTTTATGTGTATTCATTTGCATATGAATTAAGCATATGCATGCACGCACCTTGACACAGTCATATATAGCCTAAGAGACATGGACTCCTCAGCGTGGCGTAATGTTTAGCAAGCTTATCTTGCTAGAACAATTACAACTGAGTAGTGAGTTCGATCCTCATTGGGTGTCCCCATACCTTCGGCCTTGTGCCACATCCAAGCTAGGCTTAGGGAAAAACAATGGGGCGCTTCAGCGTGGTGTAATGGTTAACAAGCTGGTCTTGCTAAAACTGTTACAACTAAATAGTGATTTCGATCCTCACTGGGTGCCACATTTAAGCCTCGGTTAGAAAATCAATATTAGGCCACCTCGATTTGGTGTGAATGGTTGGCAAGCTTGTTTGCGAGTAGTGAGTTCGATCCTCACTGAGTGCCCCTTACTTTCGGCCTTGGCCACAACCAAGCTACGCTTGGAAAATTAGTGCGCAGCTCGACGCGGTGTAATGGTAAGAAAGCTTGTCTTGCTAGATCAATTACGGCTGAGTAGTGAGTTCGATCCTGACTGGGTGCCCCCTACTTTCGGCCTTGTGCCACATCTAAGCCGGGCTTAGAAAATCACTATAGCATAAGGGACGTTCAGTGAGGACCACAACGCTCTTTATTGCCTTACCTGCGAAAAGTAAACTAATCTCGCATGATGGTGATTTGACAACTGAACACGAAGATTTAACACCCCCTTCTACAAGCATAATTTTGTCACGCCTATATTCGATATGTATATCGTATATACTCGCGTAAAATGCGACTTTCGAAGAAGTAAATTTGAAGTTAATTTTAAGAGGGGTCCTATCATGCACAATAGATTAAGTTATCGTATGGGACAGCAGTCCATACGCTAATTTTATACATCTTAAAATTAGCTTCAAAACTAGGTCATTAAAAGGGTAAATTTTCATTTTAACACCCGAGCGTCATTCACTGCCGAACTATTTTCTTTCAGAAATTAGTGCGCGCTTCCGTAAAGCGATTTTTTTTTGTACTTAAGAAAGTTAACTTTCAAATATATGTAAACATCGACAAATAAAAGAATAACAAAAGAAAAAAAAACACCTAACCCTAATTTGAAAGTTAACTTTCTTCTTTAAAAAAAATAAAATAAAAGAATACCCCCCCCCAAAAAAAACACCTAACCCTAATTAGAAAGTTAACTTTCTTCTTAAAAAAAAAAGAAATTACTTTGCTATTCTTTTATTTGTCGATGTTTACATATATTTGAAAGTTAAGTTCTTAAATTAAGTAAAAAAAAAATCGCTTTACGGAAGCGCGTACTAATTTCTACAAGAAATTACTGTGAAGGAAGTAAATAGGCCCAAATTGTATACGTCCACCAACAAAATTCAGCGCTGATTTACTTATCAATAAGCCGGTAATGGCTGACGAAAGACCAGGAAAAAATTCCGATTTTTTACGGGTCGTTGACATCCAAAAAGGTAGGTTTTTTTCAATATCTAATTCAGTATATACATTTGCACGGAAATAGACTATTTTGGAAAAATTTGTAAGGATATTAGCGCACGGGTGCTAAAATAAAAATTTACCATTAAAAGTCGTATGATACGCGAGTATATACGGGAAACTAAGTTAAATCCGATGAGTTTTAGACCGACTCGGCCACGGAGTGCGTCGTCGATCAAGCAAAGTATTATATTAATGTCTTAAATATTAATGTCTTAAATATTAATGTCTTAAATATTAATGTCTTTTAAACGCAGATACTTCCCATACTCGTAAAACCTTCATATCTTCCCAGTTTCGTATCCTAATCAAAGCAATTTCTAAGTGATGGATTTTTATTAATTAATCCGACATATTTTGTTACTTAAAGGTTATTTTTAATGGATGCCTAGAGTTGAATGAGTCCCATCCGGGTCTAATGGCGGTTTCTCCTGTCAAGGCGGGCGCAGGTATATGGTCAAGTAGTTAGAACGTCAACGATCCAACCAACGAGCTGATGAACTATTAAAAAAATGCGCGGACTCGTGCAGAATTAGTGGTCAGAAAACCCCGTGGCCTTGTAATTTGTAAAGTTTGGGATATAAAACCAAAGCGGTGGGAAGACAGAAGCCGGTCGCAAGTATTTTGAAGAGTCAAGAAGACTTCCCACACTCACATTCCTTAGAGAGGCTAACTGGCACCTGGCCAAATGTTAAGCAAAGAAGACGACGACGTGTGTTCTCTTGACCATTTTCCTCCCGCTTTCTTCATAGAATCTACAGCCTACCACGATTGTTCCTTTCGTATAATAAAGCAAATAAAACAAAGAGAAGATTCGGTTGTTTTGTTTTACGGTTTATCAACCTCAATGGTTATTTCATGCCAATAAGATTTTGATTGCTGGTAATATTTTTTTTTTTTTTTGAAAAATGTATTGCTAGTAATATTTTTCCTTCAAAAATTTATTGCTGGTAATAATTCTTTTTACAAAGTATTTTTGGTATCAAAACCTATTTTTACACTTTCATATTATTTTGACACAAGTTTGGGAGCTAACATTTTGCCCATAGCTAGGCCCCCTAACTGGTGCAACCAGCCCGGGTCAGGGTGGACCTGTGAACACTAGCAATAAAGAGGTGGTTCCACGCTCCTCAAAACCGCCTGATCCGAAGCCTTGCAATTGGACGTAGTTTATCGTTACACTTTCGGCTAATCTTTTAGCCATTATCAAACGCGATTTTTATTTTTTATTTTCAATGTAATATATTTTTCCTCTATGTGCGTATCTAATTTTATAGGAATGTTTTATTTTCAAAACACGGTCATCACACTGTGGCGGTGTTCATAGTTAATGTTATTGAGTGTTGGCTTTTCCTTTTTTATTAATAGGGTTTTCATTATTTTTAATCATTTTTACATGTGGATGAGGCTATTATACTTGTATTTTCTACTAGTATATTTCAGATGGAGTTTCGTAGGTTTTTGTGTGTGTTTAAATGAGTCCTAAGTTAGCTATGGCCAGGTAGGTGTAACGTGAGTTGTCTAGATAGGTATGTAGTAGTATGACTAATATACTTATTTATGAGTTTGGCTTGATCAGAAACACAACTCCTTAAGAAACATTTGAATTCGTAAAAAATGTGAATATGATATTACTGAATTCTACGAGATCGTCTTACAATGGGAATTTATTTTTTTGACTAAGGTAAAATTAAGGACAATATTTTTTCGAATGTGATTTTGAGATTAACACTTTCCACATTCACCATTCCATTATACAAAAAACTCTCTAGTAGAAACTCTTACCACCTTAATTTTAAGAGTGAATGCCCACTTAGATATAAAGTAGTAGTTATAAAAATTTTTCTAGAGAGCACACGAGGATTCATCTTCTCGTTCCCCTTTCTTTAAAGAACTAATGTAAAGCAGAAGCTAGTTAACAATGATTATCCGAACTACCTCATCGACCACCAGATTAGACTATTTATTAGACATTTTCGTCTTAATAAATTGCTTTCTCGTTTAATTAGAGTAGCATTTTTGAAATCAACTTATGTGCGCAACTAATGCACCTAGCGCGTTGTTTCTATAAAAGATCGACTTTATGTTCATATAATCTTTCACTGAAATCCCTTGAGGTTTCTCCTATGTATTCCTTGTCACATCTAGCACTGGTAGGCTAAAACTGGAAGGAGGAATTTGCTCTGACTGGTGGGTGTCACAAGGAATACAACAACAAAAAGGACAAGGGTCATGAATGAGGTAAAATTATTATAACTACTTATTTCTAATACAAGAAAGAATGCGGAAGAGGTTTTCACAAACGCCATACTTCCTCTTTACACCGAAAAAATAATTTGCCGATTAAGTCAGAACCTCCAGAAATAATTGGTTTTTAAACATGAACGAAGTCATATCGATATCTCAAAAACTGCATTCACATACGCTCACAAACACACGTCTGACATACAAACATAGACTTATGTAGATAGATAGATAGATAGATAGATAGATAATGAAAAGTCATAGATGGATTGATAGATAGACATACAGACAGAAAGAAATATATTGAGATAGATAATGCAAACTCATAGATAGATAGATAGATAGAAATTTATTGAGATAGAGATAGATAGATAGATAGATAGATAGATAGATAAGATTGGCTGATATAGATAAATAACAAGGCTTAGATAGATAGGTAGATAGATGCAGAATGAAAAAGATAAAAAGATGTATAGAGAAAAAATATGTCGATAGATAGATGTAGAATGTAATAGATAGATAGATAGATAGATAGAGAGAGAGAGAGAGAGAGAGAGATATCGAGGGAAAAAATAGATAGATTCAAAAAACACATGTATCGATAGCCGGAGAATGAGGAAGCCATAGAATGAGATAGATAGATAGATAGATAGATAGATAGATAGATAGATAGATGAGCGAAAGATGTGTTGCATGACGAATTGTTATTTTTATGGCTTCTGGTATTATTTGTCAGGCAAACAATATTTTACACACTCATGGAAGTCTGGATAAATAAACAAACAAGACGTGGAATTTTAAACAAACGATACGCATATTACACAAAGTATGTTTATAGAAAGAAAGAAAGAAAGAAAGAAAGAAAGAAAGAAAGAAAGAAAGAAAGGAAGGAAGGAAGGAAAGAAAGAAAGAAAGAAAGAAAGGAAAATTAATTCGACTTGTGGAATTATCAAAGTTTAGCACAATCTTCGGTTTATGTCTCTGAAGTACTGACATGCCATGTGTTGCCAAAGGTAGAAAAAGGCACGTGTTGTCACTGCTGAGATCAAAGGAAAAATACAGCAAGCCTTTCAAAAAGCTTGCGCCCCGAGTAATTTTTGTCAGGGGAGGTAATCCAACAGATGTGTACATGTATATAGGCTGATTCGTAAATAAATAGATAAATGGTTTGGTTTTCAATTCTTAATTGTTTCGATAAAAAAGCGCTCGTAAGTGTGCGTGCGTGTGTGTGTGTGTGTGTGTGTGTGTGTGTGTGTGTGTGTGTGTGTGTATTTTGTTTGATATGACTGACAAGGAATTTAAATCAATTTCTCTTGTGACCTTACAAGATTGTTTTAAGGACTGAGGAATTGTCCATACTGTTGGTTTTCCGAGCGGTTTCGAGGATTATTTTACCCATTTTCAAAGGTGAAGATAACATTTCCATAGTGACCAATATTAACAGTATATTTGTTTTTGTTTTGTTGAGCATGTTGTGTGAGAACCAAGTGGCAGTAATTTGCTTCTTGGTTACGTTTTGCACAGTTACCGAACACTGCCATAACATTCCGCTCATGTCGTATGTGATGTTATTAAGAGATTAGCTGATGATTTTCTTTATGCATAAAAAGGGATTATCCACACACATTCTTCGTTCTCTCCCTCTCTCCCTACATTTCTCTCTCTCTCTCTCTCTCTCTCTCTCTCGATATTGTATATATTTATGCCAAATAGCACCGGGTGTAACAGCAAAATTGTCCATATCGTGTAACAGCAAAATTATCCAATTCTTAGATTAAGATTTGAACCGTTATATATGAGAAATGATTAAAGATATCTTACTGGAATTCTCCGAGGTTTTATAACACTAATGGATTCTACATTGAGCAATAAGAGTGCATAATTACTCTCCATTCTGAACAAAAGTATCGTGATGAAATCGATCATACGCGAAAATGACATGTTCATCATTAATTAATCATAGCTAATGATTCGAAGCTCATGAAGGATTGAAATAAAGTTCATATATATATATATATATATATATATATATATATATATATATATATATATATATTCTGGATCATTTCCCAACTTATTCCAGATGATCTTCGTCCTCTCCAACCAAAACTTTCTGTCAGGGTAAAAGGTAGGGTTTTACATACACAGTTTGTAGATAATCAAATGCATTTCTGTTAATCTTACTAGAAAAATATATTCTTAGTAATGTTCTTATAAAAATATATTGTTTGTGTTTTTATACTTTTTAGTGTTGCTTTGTCATTTTGCTATAAAAATGTATTGTTGGTTATTTTATAAAAATGTACCGTTGATTTCTTTTTTCTTGTTTTGGTGGGTGTCACTCTTAGCTCATAGCTTGGACCCTAAGAGGTTCTACCACCCCGAGTCAGGATAGAACTCGGAACAACAGCAGTTAAGAGTTGGTTCCACGCTCATCAAAACCTCCAGTCTCCCGACAAGAGGCCTTGTTGCCGGATGTAGCTTATCGTCATACCCAGGACGAATTTCCACAAAAGTAGCTGTTCGTGAAAAGAAGCGGCTCATGTGGAACTTATATCTCGCCAGTGGCATACGAAGGGAATGAAGGTAGTTCGCATGTGCCTGGGTCTTAGCCGTAAACTGGTGACGCTAAGTAATATAGTCGATTTTCGTGGATATAGCAGCAGTGCAACGAGAGGCTTGCGATATTTCGTCTTCGGTCGTGGAGTGGAAAACAAGTCACTACGATGACGCGGAGATGCTTTTGGAGTCTATCAAGATTGGAAAGTGAAGACTGTCCGTATATGTTCGAAATTCCAACGTTTATTGCCTGAAGAAGGTCGGATCGTACAAAGGTCGAAACATCGTGAATATAGCAATACTGATGAAGACGACAGTCCGAATGATATATCTATTATAAACAGCCTGAACATTTAGACAATTTTATGCGCCTGTGTTTGTCTAAGATCCTTTTATCTTGTTTATTGCCAGTCCTTCTTTGTTGGATCGCTTGCAAATTTATTGGCCTCTTTCAGTAAAGTTGAGCTTGAAAACAGCCGAACTATATTGATCGTTGAACGAAAAATAGTGGGTCTTTGTCAAGAGGTCTGGATTCTCGCGGTTGGGGGTTGTGAATATGTACAAAGAAGAACGATCGATTTTCATCGATATTAGGAGACCCGCTTTACATTCCAGAGAGTACTAACAACTGCAGAATTTGTGTTCATCATTTATTATTCTGGCATCATTTTCTTTAACCAATTCAAGTTATAGAATATTTCATAAATATAAGAGCACACGCACACACACACAAGCACACTCAGAGAAATGTATTTGTTTTATATCTACACTAGCAGCATGACCCGGCGTTGCCCGTGCTTGATTCAAAAAATCGTACGACTCATACAGCAATCGCTATCACTTGACTTAAAATATTTTTGCCCTTCCTTGCCTTTAAAGGAGTGCCCTTTGCCGTGCTGATGTTGTTACATGCCTTACTTCTTGCTTATATCACACTGCGAATTTATTCTAAGCTCTATACTAAACATTAAATCTGTTACGAAAAAAAGAACTAAACAAAATGAACACAAAACGATTAGCTTTTAAAAAGGACTCATAACTGGAAAAACTGAATGAAAAAGAATGTTAACAACAAATACTTTTTCACATCCAACCCAGTTCTGCGGAATCAGAATCTACATTGACTTTAAGCAAGCGAATGAGCCAATTGGAGTAAAGTGCCATGCAGATTTAAATTTTTCCCACTTGTGACGAATGCAGCTATCGATTTTTTTTGCATGCTAGCATGCTAGTTAACATTCGTGTCAGTCAGCTGTTGGCTCTCACGCTGTCCAATAGAATCTTCCTATCTGTTCGTGGCAACCAGCTAGAGGCTTTCCCACTGGCCAGTAAAAAATGGCCGCAAACTACATGAAAACTGCCGTAGAAGCATGACAAAATCGATTATTTCCACTATCGATGGGAGTTGGGAAATGCAATGTCGGTCTTGGTCTTTCCGCTAACTTGGAGCATGTGCATGTAAATTTTGGTGAAAATCCGTCGAAAATTGCGGCCGTGCATTCGTTACACACACACACACACACACACACACACACACACACACACACACACACACACACATATCCTGCCTTTTATAGATAGAGATATATTTGTGTACGTCATTAGAATGTTGAATAGTATCCAAAGCAGGTTAATTCAAGCGGGGTAGGGACGACCCAGAAGATTACTCTCGGTCAGGTCGTTCAAAAACCTCAAAAACAAGTTGATGTCGTATGGTTTGTGATGACGGACGTCTCTACTGTTCGTAGGCATTAAATCTGGTTTGGTCCATGACTGAGATCTTGGGGACGTCTGCAAGATGAAACCCAAGAATACTGGCACCAGAACAGAAGCTAATATGGGCTGACATTTTCAAGACACTTCTAAAACGCTTCCCGGCTGACTTTGAGAAATTTCACCGCGGATTAATAACTGAAGATGAAATCTTGGTTCAACACTTCGAACCTGAATCAATGATTCAAAGCAAATAGTGGAAACACTCTGATTGTCCAGACCCGAAGAAATTCAAGCAGGCAGAGTCTGTTGGCAAGTTGAGGGCATCTGGGTTTTTTTTTTTATATTCTGAAGGCTTAATCATGGCTTCCTGGAAAAGGGGAAACTATTAATAGACAGTACTAGACAGAATTAAGACAACTGAGAGATGCAATCAAGTCGAAACGCAAAGGAACACTGAGTGCATAGTAATCTTGCCCCAGGATAAAACGTCCGTCCTTAGCACCCAGGTTGCAGTAGCTGAAGCAGCCAACTTTGAATTGCTACCCTATCCCCGTTAATCACCAGAAACAGCGCCATCTGGTATCTTCCTGTTTCCTAAAGTCAAATCCCATCTGCGTGGTTTCCATTTTGAAATCGATGACATCATGTTTACTGTGGACGAGTTTTGAGAGGACCAGGACGCCACCTTTTTTTTTAACTGCTTTGTAATATCTATTTATTTTTTTTACATTAGAATGCAGAAAGATGCCTTCCAGAAATTTCGCAAAGTATTAAGAAACGGGAAAATTTTCGTTAGAAACAAAAAATAAAAAAAAGATTACTGATCTACTGTGTAATAGCTCATTTTACTACATCAGAATAGTGAAAGAAGTCTTCCAGAAACTAAGCAAAGTATTAAGAAACGGGAAAACATTCGTTAGAAAAAAGAAAAGAGTACTAAATTGCTGTGTTATATATAATTTTTTTTTCATTAGAATAGTGAAAGAT